GCACAGTGTGATGGCTGGGCTCTGCATGCTATGGTTCTGGGCAGTCTTGAAGGGAGGAAGATGCTGAGGGATGAAATGGGAAATAAAGTGATCAGTCCAGAGAAAGCTGAAGAAGCAAGTCCAAAAGTAAGGTATTTTCACCTGGGGCAGAAGCTGGGAGGTTCCAATTTTTTAAGGAAGTGATTTAACAGAAGGAGCAAAAATATTGTGAATCTAGGGATTACATCGTGGCTAAGGCAAAAGTGAAGAACAAGCACCTTCCTACTGTGACCCGGATAAGACCGAGGCCACTGGTGACCACATTCCCACTCCACCGGACCTTCCTCAATGGAGACCATCCCTTGTTGCAAGCAAGCTGGCTGGCTAAAAGAGCTGAACTGCATGAATCTTCTAATTCCCTTTATTTCTCCTTAATCGCTTACTTATCCACTTTATTTCCTTTCATTCGCTACGTCACTTGAGACTGAAGGTTTTGCAGGTATCGGTAGTAAGTGGTGCCAGTTGAAGGGAATAGACACACAGAGGTTCCAATGCACTGCTGACAAGGACAAGAGGGACACGCTGAGCAGCTCACATCATCTACTTGAAAATAACTATATATCACCTGCACCCAGGGCAGGACTGGTTCCAACAAGTAACCAGCCAGTCCTACAAGTTTGTTTTGGCTTTCCTTCATTCATCTTAGTGACAGCTTTGTATATTACTCCTATTTAACATAACTTCTATTATATGATTTCTTTTGTATTTTCCTTTCAGATTTTGTAATAAAAAGAAGTTAAAGACCACAGGTTAAGGTCACAGAATCAAACAGGAAGAGATGCGAACTCTGAAGGATTTGTGAGAATTTGAATGGCCTTAAGCCTGTTTCTTCTTTAATACCATTTCACTTGGACAATATTTGTCCTTCTGGTGTAACTCCTGTGATTGCAATGCTTACAGTGTCCACTGAAGACTGGGTTCCAACTCAGTCCTGCAGCATGAGGGTACTCCTTGTAAGATGTGAATAAAGTATGCTTGTGCCTAGACTGTCGAATTCACTTTTGTGCCATTTCTGTAAGTACAATAGTTCTGCATACCTTTCACAAATGTCTGTGTAAATTTCTCATATTAGAACAAACATAATGTGCCAAGCTGAAGCACAAAAGCTCCTACACAAACCTCTGTCCTTATAGCTTTTGTGTAATGAGCAGTTTACAGAATACCACACAGAAGTCTCTGCTCAGTCTGCTGTAGAATCAAGCTTCTTCATTTGTTCCTCACATCTGCGACATTATTCAGTGGCCTTGTGCAGATACTGTATGTTCCTTAGGCATATCTGTATCCTACGCACAACACTTCCTTTTGACATTTATGAAGGTAGCAATTCATGCGATTTATATAAACTTTGAAAATGCAGACACTTTTTACTTCCATACAACCTCTGGGGACACAGAATAAAGGCCTTTCATACTGTGCCTTCTATCTCCTCTCCACTACATCCCCACTTCGGCTTTTTTTTCATTTTTCTCTGCTTCTTTGACTCACAGCATTGGGCTGTTTGGTGCATATGGAAGCACCGGTGTCTTCATCCTTACTCTCTAAACTTTCTGTGCTAATCTGTTTTATAACACAATAATGGTGTTTTTTTCTAATTTCTCAGGTGTTACTGGATCACTCAATCCTGTATTATTACTGATACTTGACAGATTTTGAAGGAGCAGCTGTAGCACAGCAAAGGAAAGGAAAGCTTGATGAAAGGAGGGAGACTGGTAGGCTGGTCGTGTATTAATCAACAAAGATGAACTCAGGGAGAAGGCCCTTCTCGGCACAGCAAAATACTGAGCATCTGGCCGGTAGAGTTTGAATACTCAGTAGATTTTGAACAAAGAGGCAGAAGATGCTGAATGAACAAAATATTTCATCCTCCTGATAAGTAAAAGTACAGTGAGAAAGATGGTAAGGCTATGGCTTTACTGACAGCATCTTAAGAGGTTATTTTTGACAATTTTTGAAGGAAAATACATTATACAGACAAGACAGTGCAGTAGCACATCCTGTACTTCATCTTAATGATCAAAGCAAAAACATGGTTAAGGTATGCTGATACAATCACAATGCTAAAATAACAAGATCATTTTCCTAGGAAGGTGGGGGCCATACTACCCTACCAGCTCAGGAGAAAACACTACAAACCAGTATGCATAAAATTCATGGGTGGCAACACTAGAGTTAATTTATCCTTGATATTTATTGTTTCGTTTTGTTTTTTGGTACCAGGGAAAAAACTTGGTCCCTTGCATTTGCAAATCAGGCGGCGGAACCACTAAGCTAAATCCTTGGCCCTGTTTTGCTTTATTTTTGAGACAGTCTCACTATCTAGTTCAGGCTTGTCTTGAACTCACTGTGTAGCCCAGACTAGCCTCATACTCACACTTATCCTCCTGCCTCAGCCTCCCTAGTGCTGGTATCACAGGCATGCACCACCACTCTTGGCCTCCTCAAAACTTATTTTCTGGCACTTTATGGTGCAAAAAGGCCCCAGATTTGAAAATTCAAATTTGACATCTGAGTTACCCGCTTATTTTAGCTACATTACCTAGATTAATGTTCACTAGAATTCCTTGTTTTTGGGTTTTTTGTTGTTGTTTTTTAACTTAAGGAAGAGGATGGATAGCAACTTAGAAATACCAAAACTTTCTGTCAGGCAAACTAATCCTGCAATATTACCTGAAAGGGAACAGATCTAAAACTCCAACATCAAATCTCTAACTACTTGGGTCTTTTTTTTTCTGAAACAGGGTCTTACAATGCAGTTCAGGTTCACCTTGAACTCACTATATAGCCCAGGTTGGGCTCAAACCTGCAGTGATCCTCCTGCCTCAGCTGAGTGCTAGAATTACATAGTTGTGTGCCACCATGCCCAGCTATACTTGTGTCTTTAAAAAGCCTTACTCTGAAACTCAAACACTTACCATTAAAATATTCTGTAAAATAATGTAAAAACGTGTTAGTTTTGGCTTAACCACAATACCTGTTGAGCATAAATAAACTGAGTTATCACTGCTGAATTAATATGAACAGTGTCTAAAAATACAGACTTAAAAGTCTGGGCTACGTAGTGAGTTAAGGCCAGCCAGAACTACATAGTGAGACTCTGTCACAAACAAACAAAGGATAAATAAATAAGTAAACAGGAAATAACCTACTGATTATTTCAGGCCTACTAATGCAAAGCTCCTTCCTTCGAATGTTAAATTATCTAGATATTAAATTGAAATACCTTTATGATAATGACTATTGTATTTATTATTACAATGATATTACAAGGGAAAATTTGTGCATTTTCTGATAACTTTATAAATTACACTCTATTTTTAGTGTCAAATTATTTTCAAGATATGGACAGTATTTCCTGAAAAGAAAATCCATCTCAAAAATAATATCTAATTTGGGCCAGGGATTTAGTTCAGTGATGCTGCCACCCACCTTGCAAGCACAAGGTCCCAAGTTCAATTCCCGGTATCAAATATAATAATAATAATAATTAATAATAAAAATAATAACTAATTTATGCCAGGTGTGGCAATGCATACCTGTAATCCCAACCCTTGCGAGGCTGAGGCAAGAGGATTGCCACAAGTTCAAGCCCAGTCTGGCTACATAGTGAGTTCATCTACATATTGAGAACCTGTCTCAAAAACAAAAGTGTATCTGAGTTTTACTGAAATGTTGCTGTATAACCACATGCTAGGCAAAAAGCGCTCATATATACAGAATTTTAAATTATTTTATTTTACTTATTTTGAGATGGAGGTCTTGCTCTGTTGCCAGGCTGCCAAGCAATCCTCTCACCTCATCCACGTGAGTAGCTGGGACCACTGGTATACACCATTGCATCCTATCTTATTTGATTCTTACAGGAATTCGGCATAATTTCAATAGTCTCCAGGACTGTGTGCATCTTGCAATTAACAAACTAAAGCATTTCACCATGTATTTCAGGAAGAAATAGCACTTATATTCTAAAATTTCTGTATTATGGGGGCATATTTCTTTTTTATTATCAAAAACATCAATCTTTCTATTCAAACACTGGAAAAAAATACTAACATTTGCCCACAAATAAAAATGTTTAGACAAACCTGCAACAAAAATGTACATGAATATGATTACATTCTTTCCTCTCTCCATGTAATTCAGAAAACAAATGATATTAAAAACGATGATTCTCATAATTTCAGGTTTATGCTCCTGATGAATATGTGATATTCCCTGGAAGGAATTCAAAGGGTAGGCAATGAAGCCTTTCGAAGGTTTCAAACTTTAAATTATGGTAAGGAACAGAGAGAGGTAAGATGTCTTCAGCAAATGATAACAATGATCAAATAAACAATAGCAAAGGAAGTTTAAAGATTCTTCAGGTCTAAGAAATGCAATCCGTGAGGCTGGGGAAAGACACCAATTTCCCGACTCCACCCTGCTCGGAAACAATCATTCAATGCAGCCGTCCAGGAAAATGCCTTTTCCTAGATATCCAGAGGAAAACCGAGAAGCCCACCTCCCGAACTCAGGGGTTCTTGCTTCTGTTTAACCCTGGCCTAACCTTTCTGCCTGCTGCCCTTCCTTCCAAACACCTGGCCTGCCAGGCTGGGAAGCAGGATACTGCACCGGGGCCACTGCGCCGCTGCTAGGAGCATCGCCCGCCGTCCCACCTGCTCCTGTGCGCAGTCCTCGCCCGGCCTGACACGCGCACACGCACTCACGCTGCCGCGCGCATCCGTTGCCAGGG